CAAAGAAAAAGCACATGGAGTTTCGCTCAGGAAATACATCCATAATTAACTTGTGATCTTATAAAAGTGCGAAGTGTTTAATAATTAAACAATAATAGACAGAATATCACCTGATCCTAGCTAACTCAGCCTACAGCCTCGCTCTGGCAAAGTCAGATCAAGTGATATTCTACACAATCTCGCAGGATAACTCTTATTTAATTAACCACGTGGTGGAGGTTGAGCTGTAATTTACTACCTACTTTCTCTTTTGTTCTAAGCTGGTGAGATTGTATGTTATGTACATCTGTGGTGGACAATATACATTTTTTTCAGTTTAATATAAATTTTTAAATGAATGCTGAAAGAAATAATGACTGAAGCCTAATATTGTGTTTAATTATTGTTTTTGGAAAAATCCACTTCAGTTCTCAAGACAAACCTGTGAAGGGTATCCTTTGGTGTGACAAGGATATGGAACCACTAAAGGCAAGTATATTAATTAGGAGCACAGTCAGTAACTTGAAACACATTCGAAGGCAAAGAAACTCATTCACAAGTAAATGAAAACTGCCTGCTGTAACTGAGATGCTTACTATAGCTATTTAATATAGTAAACCTTGTGCATCCTTTGGAAGAAATCCCACTATATGTAGCAGGGTTAAAAGATTATGCAGTAATTTTAGGGCATATTATGCGGAAAAAAGTGTTGATAATGCAGAAAAATGCTGGACTGTGTGAAAATTTCAACAGAATTTTTTCACTTTAAAAGTTTTAATTGGACCTCTTCACACTGTTTATATAATTATGTATCCACTTTGCCACATTCTGGCTGATGCCCTAGCTAGTTAAAACTCTTTCCTGCTACTTTTTTTTTTTTAGGCTGATAGATTTCTGAAAGATCTTCATTGTTCAGTAAGTGAATCATTATTCTAATTTTTATATTCTTTTGTAACTTTCAAAGATTATTACAATTAGTTTATGTCATTTTATAAAAAAAGTTAAAATGATACACAAAGAATACCCAAATAAAATTGGTAGAGTTTTCTTTTTTCTTATTTTTGGCACAGCAGAACTAAGAGAGTTGAGTATTTGATTAGAGTATGTGATAAGATTGTTTGCATATTTGGTCACAGGCAGAGCTTAACTTAAAAGGTCAAGTGAAGTTATCAAACGGTATTATTAATGTCAGTCATTTCATAGCTACTGACAACAGTAAACCATAGATGTAGTACTCACAGTATACATGTAATAATGATAA